CCTCTGATCTTATGTTGAATTTATTTATCAAAAGTTTGTAAATCGCTGGAAATGATTTAGGTGGGCGATTTGATCCTTAGCCAACGAAAGTTGAAGTTAGGGCATCTCGTGAACATATCAACTCTAATCGATTAATGCTTGATAATCCTTGTAACCTCAACGACAGTTAGCGTGTTAGATTGATTGTTAAAGTTGTAGNTGCCATGAAAGTGGATCTCCTTATATTTATGGTTGAGTTCGAGACTTGGTCGTAATCGCATACCTGAATAATTGCTTGGTTCCTGATATTCGAATCCCTGAGAATTATCCCTGACCTAACGCCTTTCCACTATTGTTTACAACCGATTTTACTTTTGTTTTGCTTTGATATTATCGTGACATTTAAANCCCAACTTGAATCGCTTAGCTGAGATNTGTAATNCATAGAATNAGAGCGTATTGNTGGTCCCTTAACGAACCTCACTATTCTACATTGATTAGTAATTCTAGGTTTTAATCTTGAAACCGGATAAAGGACTTTCATCAAATACCAGTAGTTTTGACCGCATACTATAATCATTTCTCAATGACGAATTCAAAATCTAGTGGACATTATGCCAGCAATGCAGATCCAATCTACTAAATCCAAGAATGCACCTTACCACATAACAAGATACTATCAAAGCCTAAGAATTTGCCAGTTTCATCGAATTTGAAGGCCACAGATCTATCAATTACCTAAAACTGAAATCAAAAGCGAGTAAAAAAGCAAACAAACCTTCAGTGGCTTCACGAGGAGTTTTGAAACCCAAACCAATGTTCTTCGACAACCGGTTTCCACCTTTTCCAAGTCGCTTTCCCTTTCCAGATTTCTTCGAGCTGATAAATAAGGAACCAATGTAAATAACTTGGAATCTTAAAGTAGCGCAATCTTACATTGAACTAGAGAGAAATCGATTCAGAAAATTACCAGAGGAAGAAAAGCTTTCTCAGTCTGCAAAATCGGAAACACAGCGGCGGAGAATACTATGTCGC